CTGTGTCAGCATGATGGAAGACGAAAGGTTCCATTTCAACCCAAAGACTGCCATTTCTACTTTTTAATAGCAGCAATAAAAAAAATTGCAACACATAACTCATAAACACAGTGCAAACTGGACAATACCTCTCTGTACATTGCCACATTGTGGTTTGTATTAAGTAATGGACCCTACTTGTAGTTAAAACTGAAGATTTTAGATTTGAATTACAATTAAAGGAGCTTTCGTAAAAGGGTGCACATATCTGAGTAGTTTTAAGGAACTAAGAGTTGGTTGGATAGTTCAGTGAATTAGGTATGTGGCTCCAGTGCCTAAGGCTGGGATTTCAGTTCCCCACTGTGCATCCCAAAAGAGCCAGCCTATGTGGCCTTGGGCAAGCTGCACAGTCGCCAGGATGCCTCCAAGGAGAAGGGAACAGTACTCTCTACCCAGAAAAGGGCTCCCATAAATCAGAATTGACTTGATGGCCCACAATTAGTATTAAAGGAAGAAAGAGAGTAAAGCATCTCCAGCCTCACAAAGTTTTATTATGGATGAAGTTGATGGAACAAATTGCAGGAAATGATGCTCACAAAGAACTGAGTTTATGTTGGACAGACTGGTTTCACACAAAGAATATGATGTCACAGCACTAGCATATATGGTGCTCATCCTTTACCACTAATGAAACTGTACCTGGGCTAGAGAACCGTCAATCTTATCTAATATCTCTACAACACAAACAGTAGACAAGGGGATCCTTATAGATCTCAGCAGTGCAACCAGCCAGGAGGTATTGTAACCTGAGGACTATTTCCAATCCAATTACACACAGCAGCTGTGCTCTTCCTTCTCCTCCATCCCTTTCTGAAACACTCCTAAGATGAGTAAATCTCTGTCAATGTTACAGGCAAAGAGATTTCTGATGGCTGAATATGGGTTACAAAAAAGCATTTCTTTAAGCCTTCCTTGAAGGAGTTTGGTTATGAGAGTCTGAAGAGGTCACCAGTTACTTCTTCTATGTGTTATTTAATAAGCATTCATGGTGCACATGGTAGAATTTTCCAAGAGAAGTTTCTATGAAAAGAAACTGGAACTGGAACAGAATAAATAGCACGATGACTAAAGAGTGTGTGAAACTATGCCAGGAAGAATGTGGACATAGCAGAGAAAGCATGAACAAGAATTCATGAACCAGGTTCATTTCCTCAATTTCAATATACCCTATGCCTTCACAGTTAAGTGGCCTATTTGACAGTCCCTTGGGAAAGCCTCATCTATGTCCTGCTACTTTCATCATTTCAATATCTGGGCCAGAAGATGTGAAAAGAAAGCCAATGTTATGAATGTGTGCATCTTGGAATTCGATGTGACCAGTGGGGAGGTCTTCCTGGTTGGGAAAGTCATGGTGGAACAACAAAAATGAGATAAAGAAAAGATTCCTACAGTTCTTGCCATTGATTGCATTCTCTGTCCTCCACTCAACCCTGAGAGGCAGTGTGGGGTAGCAGTTAGAGTCCTGGACTGGGATTTGGAAGCTTCAAATTCAACAAACCATGAAATACACACATCTCTCATCTGGACCAACCTCACGGGATCAATGTAAAAATAAAGTGAGGAGGAAGAGTGGGTTCTACAATGTTCCAAGCTCATTGGAGGAAAAGTGGAGAATAAGTATAACAAGTAGAGGTGGGCACAAACTGAACTACAAATTGGGAAAAAAACAAGAACCAGATTGGTTCATGATTTGGTTTTGTACAACCTGTCTTGCTGGAATGAAACAAAGCACCAAACTTTTTTTTCTCCTTGTCACTTAATTTTGCTTAAGCAAAAAATATGCACACACACTCTCTTTCCACTGCCCCCACATCACTTCCCTACCTTGTCCTGCCACATCCTCCTCCACCACCACCATCTTCAGAGACAGCAGCCTGACTTCCCTTCAGGGCCTGCTGGCTCTGTGCATATGCTTGCCTATCAGCTGATCAGGGCAATCAGCTAGGAGGTCAAGTGCCTATGTACTATTACAAGCAGTGCCCGGGCTCCTAGAAAACCGCACTGCCATGCTGCTGCCACCAGTGTGGTTGCGGTGTGTCAAGAGAAGGTAGCCCCCACCCACAGGGCACAAACAAAAAACAAAATCATGGGCTCAGTTTGGGATTCCAGTTGGTTCATTGGTGGTTCATGGTTCACACCTAACCACAAACCATCACAAACCACCATTTTTCATGTTTGAGCCCATCTCTAATAAGTAAATCAACACTACTTTTGGATCTTTTAAAAAGAAAAAGATACAACAGCCAATGAAGTCATTCTTGTTTTTGTGCTTGCTTATATTTGAGTTTGCTTGTTGCCTTTTTCGGCTGCTATTTTAATCCCATTATTAACTTACTATTTATTTTCAGCTTATTAATAATTGTGATCTTATAGTTTGTTCTTCAAAAAGCTGGAAGCAACTTTGGGGATATTTATGGAAAAGTGGGACAGAAGTGTTTTAAATAAACAAATATGGCAAGTTAATGAGGATAGGAATGTGAGGATGTTGGCCAAGAATCTGCAGAGACTGATTTGATACTTAAAAAGTGGATTGGTACTCAAAAGAGGCTGACAAAGTAAAACATGAAAAAATATATCAAATTGATCTTTAAAAGGGCATTGGTACTTCAGTATAGTAAAACACCTCTAGAACAGGCCCATTTCAATCAATGGAACTTATTATTATTTATTAGTAGTAGTAGTAAATTAATAATTATACACACACACACACACACACATGATTCAACAAACCTTCACTACTCTAGTGTGACTTACTATGCTAAGCAACAGGATTTCAATCAGTGACAGCTCATGAGTGGGTTGAGGCATCTGTTCATCAGCTGTTCACAATTACATTAATACCAAGCACTTGGCTGAAGAAATCCTTATTTTCCTGGAACCTGTCCTAAGTTCTGAAAAAGCTGTATCTGAACACTCTTGCTTTCTGACCTCCATTTGCCAATGTCCTGTGCCAGATATCTCCTCCATACCATGACCAAACCTGGATAAATTAGGGGTGAGTCTTAATGCCTTCCCTGTCACCCAATGTTGCTGGGAAGTTACTTCTCATCTGCAGTATAGAGAGATGGAGTTGGAGATAAGGGGTAACCAGTGTGGTGTAGTGGACAGAGTACAGTAATAGACTAGGATTCAGGAGACCTGAAAACTCACTGCAGGGATGGAAATGGTAAAGTCACTCCTTAAATACCCTGCCAGGCAAAAACAAAAGAAGACAAAAATATTGTGGCACCTTAAAGACTAACTGCAATATTTTCATATGAACTTTTATAGACAAGTCCATTTGTTCGCAAAATATGACATTAAAATATCACAGTTAGTCTTTAAAGTGCCACAATGTTTTTGTCTTGTTGTTGTTTGCCTGATATGCTACCACAGACTAACAGTCTACCTCTCAAATATCTTACTTAACTTGAAGCCCTGTCAGGATCTCTGTCAGTCAGTTCTGACTTGACATCACATAACAATAATAAATGATGATGATGATGATGATGGATATAGATACAGATGGTAAAGGTTAGAAAAAATGGCTTCAGGGAATGGCACTTTGAGGTGTGTGTTTTTTAAAAAAAAAAATCAATAGGGAAATGGTAAGGAATTCCCTCACCAAAGCACCTCTCTGAAGACTACAGGCTTTTGAGGCTGTTCATTAAAAAAAATTAAAAAAAAAAGTTATACACATCTGCATGAAAAGTTAGTATGGATTTTCCAGCTTCTTTTCTTCTCACAAAGTGGTAGAGCCCCTACTGCATTCTTACCAACAATGTAAGAAAGAGAGTATAGCCAGGCCATGAGCTCACAGTCTGGCCACTTATTTTAGGAGCAGCCAAATCAAGATGTTGGTTAGCATTAATTCATTTATTTTGTCAAACTAGCAGCTCCCCAGAAGTGAAGCAAACCAAATTGATAAATGCAGAACTCGGAGGATGTCCATCTAGGAACATCAAACTGAAATCCAAGTGTTATTCACAAATAAGACAAATCCTAAAGTTAATAATACCTAAATCCAAGTTCTGGTCCCAACTATAGCAGAACCACTGGGACTTATATCAAAGTGTAAGGAAATAATCTGATTCAATTATTCTTTTCTAGTTGGAACAATGAACTGGATATAGGACTTAGTGTTCTATATGGATGAATATTTCTTTGAAGCAGAAAAATTCCAAACTATTGGATGACAGCAAAACAAAACTCCATCTTTAGCAACATCCATACAAATAGAATTCTGCTGTAGGATTCCTGGGACTGAACTCCCATTGATCCCAGCCAGCAGAGTCAATGGTGAACGATCATGGAATTGCAATCCAGCTGAAATTAGAGAACTGCTAGATGGTTCAGTGATTTAAGGCATCTGGCTGTGGAGGCCTAGGTTGGGAGTTCCATTCCCCACTAGGTCTCCTTGACAGGGGCTGGACTTGGTGATCCACAGAGTTCCTTCCATCTCTGCAGTTCTCAGATGATGATGATTTAGGGCCAAATATTCCCCATCCCATTTTAGCCAGTATCTGAACTGAAATAGTTTATAGTTCCAGAAGCCACCAACTCAGTGCATCTTTTTAATTACTCATTTGTATTACATTTCCTATGCAGCAGTTTGCTGTTTTATTTATATATATTTACCTGAACAATTTATGGAACATTTATGCAATATTTATTAAAATATCTTAAAACCATATCGCAAAAGAAATAAACACAATCTATTTTTAAATAAAAATGAGAATAACCATTCTAAAACACAAAACATTAAATAATCATAAACTCAGACTTTTAAAATATTTATTGTGTGCCTCTTGACAAAACACACTCTACTGTACTACACCTTTATATATCTATTCCTGCAGACCAAGGCATTTCTCCATGCCAGACTAAAACATTTGTTTAAGACTTCCATAGTTGAAATTCCTGCTCATTCTCACTCCTATTCTCCTAAAGCAGCTTTCCGGTCTAGCAAACACAACACTCACCTGGAACACGGCTGGCATCTGATGAAGCATTTTTGCAGGAAGCAGGAAAGTAGGGAGGGGGAGAGAGGAAGAGAGAGAAAAAGAGAAAGCATATTAGACACACACATGCACACACAGAAGCAGCTCAACTTCTTTGCATGGAAATATATTTCATGCAAAACCAGAAGTATGCTTTGAAAGTCACCCATTTACAGCCACCAGCCCACCCATGCAAGGGAAAAGGACTGGTTTCCTTCTCCTCTGTGCATGTTGGAATAAATCAGATGTTGTATCTCTCCGGAGGAGGAGAGAGGTTCTGAAAGAAGATAGACACAACTTAAGCTAACTCCTGAAAGAATATTGGTTAGAATATTCTGTGTTATTTCATTTCACATAATTTCAGACAGGAAAAAGCAACAACATTGCCCAGAAGCAGGATAGATTCATTCACATAAATTCAAGTACATTCCAGTTCTGTTAGAGAAAGAAATTAGTTAGCTTCCATTTCTGAGAGGGATGATATGAATTTATGATCAGTTGCTGGGCTTCCAAACTCTGTCTCCCAAACAGCTAGTAAAAAAGACTAGTTATTTCCATTTCTCCTGTCCTTTGTTCCCTGGGACCATCCTTCATTGCAGACAATATTCAATTTTTGAAAGTTTTCTGTGCATGATCTTTGACCAGAGCTGTGATGGGGCCCTGTTTTGTAAGCAGAAGACCTTCTATTCAGTTCTTGGGACCTGAAACACATGTGGTAGGACTGCTGTCAATAATTATCTCTTCTTGTTATTATAGTATATTACATTATCCCATTCTTTTGCATAAGTCTTGAATTCATCATCAACTAACAAACCAGAATCAAGAATTTAAAAATTGAGGAAAAGGATGAAGATACTGTGCTAAAAACAACAAAAATGAATCAGTAATACAATTCCTATTATTGGCAGTCAATAAAAGAATCCATGGCTTATAATTTGCAAGACCTAAGTAGCGATGTTAATGATAGGACCTTTTAGAGGTCCTTAATTCATAGAACCATAGAACTGTAGATCTGAAAAGAATCTACTTGGTCATCAAGTTCAACATCCTGCCAACTTAAGAAATCTACAGCTAAAGCATTCCTGATGTGGTACCAGAGTATATTCATATTTTTTAACTGCACCAGAGAGCTTTTCCACAGTATAAAGTATCCCACAGGGTTTCCAAAAGACATGCGAAAATATGAAAGAGTTAAAAAAATGCTGGGAACAACTCAGATAAGATTTCACTGAACAGTGAGAATACTGGGAGTGGTAAGGGAAAGAAGGATTTTACCCCCAAGACTGCCAATTTTCAGTTATGTTATTCTGGTGACAACAGCAGGGAAGCCTGCATATGATTTAAAAATCTATTTTGGAACTACCTTTAAAACTTGGGCCACATATCTTCCCCTGCAAGATAAAACTAAGACTGCAAATTAACTGAAAATGTCTGGTGTGCTAGCAGGTTTAAGAGTAGAGAGATCAGAGGACGCAAGACTTCAAAAGGCACTGTTTGTTATATGTGAGATCAACTTTGGACTAACGCTCATTAAAATGTAGTTAAACAAACATACCATAGAGTGGTAACAGAAAAGAGGGTGGAAGCCTGTACAAACACCCTACCCCCACAAAGTCATGTTTTCTAAAAATTGTACAATTGTTTTGAAATCAACACTTTTTAAGAATGACTTTTCCACTGCCTTTCAAAAAGCCCTTGAATATCAAGCTAAAGAGTTGCTGACTCAGCAAAAACAAACAAACATACATACATAAAGTCTTACTGGCGTTACTGTTTTGTCTGTGTTAGCCAACATTAACTAGAAACAATAGTGTTTGCTGCCAAGTAACTAAATTCTACATTCAGACCCCTTAAGCCTTTATATTCCTGTGCCTTTATTTTTATTTTCCTTCTCCTTACACTGCTCACACTACTTCCTCTCCTGAGCCAGCTGTCAGTCTTGAATCCCATCTATCCAATTTGTTTACTTGCTCCCAGTCTTCCCTACTGTGCCTCCTGAGAGAAGAGTCAGCCTGTGTGGCCTTGGGCAAGCTGCAGCATTCCAGGGCCCTCCAGAAGAAGGGAATGGGAAAACCACTTCTGAATATTCTCTACCTGGAAAACCCTGGAAATATTTGCTATAAATTAGAATTGACTCGACACCACACACACACCATCTTTGTAGGACATATTGCCTTTGTTCTATAACTATACAAGTACAGTGGTGCCCCGCATTACGATGACCCTGCTTGACAATGAAATCGCTTGACGACGACTTTTTTGTGATTGCTATAGCGATCGCAAAACAATGGTTCCAATAGGGCTTTTTCACTGTACAACGATCAGGTCCCTGCTTTGGGAACCGATTGTTCCCTAGACAACGATTAAAAACATCTGATCGATGGTTGGCAAAATGGCTCCCCAATCTTTTGCTGACCTCTCCACCTCCGCTTCCATCTTGTGGGCAGAGCTGCTGGAGAGGAGGAGGAGGCAACACATTCGGCTGTGAGTGAGCGGCGGGGCTTGCTTCGGGCTCAGCTGAAGGAACTCGCTTTGGAAAGTGGAGGTGCATGCGTGCTAGCGAGCAAGCACAAGAGGAGGGGAGGGGAGCGAGTGAGTGTGCATGCGCGTCAGCTGGAGAATGTGAGCACGGGAGAGAAAGCAAGTGATGAGAGAGAGAGCCATGGCCAGGAGCTCCATGACTGACTGACTGACTGACTGACTGACTGACTGACTGACTGACTGACTGACAATAGGAAACAGCGAGCACTGCAGAGTCAGGAGAGGAAGGCCGCTGCCAAGCCCAAGCTCAGCAGACTCAGCCGTCATTTCCTCTTCCTCCTCACCACACCTCACCGTCAGCCCGGGCCCCACTTGCTTGCTTGCTTCTTTGCTCGCTTGCTGGCTCGGCGCCCCTCCTTTGCCAAGGCTGACTTTCCGGGAATGTGAGAGAAGGCAGCCACGCCAGGAGGCAGAGGAGGCGGCGGCAACAGCAGTGGCGGCGGAGGCCTCTCTCACTGGGATGCACCCATGTCTTTGGGGCGGGAGGGTGGTGGCAGGAGGGTGGGAGAGGGGCCAGCAAAGCCTTGCATGGAACCAAGGGGAGGCCGCCGCTGCCCCTGCTCCGCTTGATGCTGTGGCCGCCGGCGCCGTTGCCCTGCGCTGGGGGGGGGAGGCCTTGAGTTTGCAAGTAGGGATACGTCCTCAGCACCAACCACTCCTCCATCAGTGGATAAAGTAGACGGATCTTCTCGGAAGTCCGTCAGAAAAGCCAGGCAGAAGAGGTCACAAAGTTCATAAAGAAACTTCAGCAGTGCTGTGTCATTTTTTACTTCATGGACATGCTTTCAGATCTTAAAATGAAAGAATACAAGCACTCAATTCTTAATGAACTTGTTTTGCTGACCTACTTTCACAAGACAGGGATCGCAAAATGGGCGCCCCATGGAGGATCTTCGCAGGACAATCAGGTATTTCCCCTATTGGGATGCATTGACCAGTTTTCATTGCATTCCAATGGTTTCTTTTTCTGCATGACGACAATTTCGCTGTACAGCAATTTTGCTGGAACGGATTATCATCATGCGGGGCACCACTGCACCCTCTACCTCCCTGTATTCTCTGTATTCTCTGTTTCTGAAGCTTCTTTTTATTTATATGCTGGTTGTATTGCATATTTGTGCAATAGGACTTCCGCATCCGTGGGATCAGTATCTGTAGTTTCACTTATCTACTGCCTGAAAATATTAAATAACCTCCCCAGAAATACAGGTTTCCAAGTTGTATTACCAGAATAGGCCACTAAAGGGAACCAAAGACTATGCAATATATTGCGTTTCTCTACCTGCACTTTTCAGCATCGGGGTGGGGAGGCATGTGACCAATCTCCCGTGGATACCACAATCCTACTGTATATACACTTAGAGCCTCCCATGGATACCCAGTATTGTAACTCCTCTTCCCTTGATATCAGCTCATCCTCTTTCCTTTCTCCCATTCTAGAGATGCCTGTGAAACCTGGAAGGTACTACAGATGCCACATCCCTTTCTAGACTGCTGCTGATCACAGGCCTTCAGTGGAAGATATTCTTCCACTCTATAGGCTCAGAGCTCCTCAAAAACATTGAGGCGAGTAGGTCTCTTGACAAAAGAGAATGGTTGGATTTCCTTTGTCCTCGGCACAACGGCCCATTTATGCTAGCTTTGTAGAGTGCTGCGCTGTAAGCCAAGGTTGTTTGCTTTTACTCTTTGATATTAATAGCTGCACTGAAAGAGGGATCAGCAGGGCGACTGCCTTTGTCAGGTGCAGTGCTAGCCACCTGGGTCGGACAGAAAAGGAAACAAGGAAGATCAAGAGAGATGAAAAGGAACAGATGATATTGTAAGCTCAGATCACTGCCGTGCCTGTAGTACGAAATGTCTGGGACATTTTATTTTAAATATTTCATGTGAGTTTTGTCAATGATGAAAGGTGCTGTACTGACAGTTCTGGGGTTACAGAGAGAGGCTGAAAGAAACAGAGAGACAGAAAGAGAGAAGGAATAGACCAAACAATATCATAGACAGGGGAAATGACATTGGCCACTAATCCCCTTGAGAGAAAAGGATGCCAAACCTGTGGCTATTTACATCAAAGCTTAGGGAAGTGGGTTTTTTTTAATAAAGACTACAATTCCCAGGGTCTCCCAACCAACTGGAGAATTCTGAGAGATGTAGTACATAAAATAACTTTTCCAAGCTGTTTTCCCCTCATACTCACACGCACACCTGTAAATGAATAACAGACGTCTTAACTTCCATAATATATTTCGGCTTCACCCTCTCTAAGGTTCAGTAGATAACTGTTTACATGTAACTAGACAAAGAATCCCTGAGTCCAGGTTTCTGAACAGCCGTCAGATGGGAAAAACCCAGGATGAAAAGAGTTGTTGACCTAGTATTGAAAAGCCTTCCTCTCTAATTACTGGGCCACTTGATCCCTTAAGCTACACCTACCCAGATGGGTCTCTGGTTACCTTCTC